GCAGCAGCAGCAGCCGCCCCCTTGTTTCGGGGGGGCCTACTGGCACAGACCGTGGGGTTGTTGTTGCTGCTGCAGCTGCTGCTACGAAGGCCCCCAATTGAGCTTGTCTTTAAGGTGATGTCTCTGAGGAACTGTCTCCTTTTATGGGGGCCCCTTGCATGCGTTGCTGCTGCTCGGGGGCCCCGCCACGAGCACCTGCTGCTGCTGCTGCTGCTGCTGCTGCTGCTGCCCCCGCAGCAGCAACCGTTTGGGGCTTGGCTGTATATTTCCTTTTTATTAACTACTCTGCATATTCTTGCTTTCNGCAGCAGCAACCGTTTGGGGCTTGGCTGTATATTTCCTTTTTATTAACTACTCTGCATATTCTTGCTTTCTCTTTAATACTTGTTTCTTCTTTTGCTTTGTTAGGTGTCTCCTCTCTTACTGCAGCAACCACATCCGCAGCAGCACAGCAGCAGCAGCAGCAGCAGCAGCAGCAGCAACGCTGCTGCTGCTGCTGCTGCTGCTGCTGCCACTGCTTGTTTGTTTCTTAGCTTTATGCATTCACTTACAGCTAAACTTTCTCTCATTCCCCTCACTAACTTTATTATACTGCGAGAACCACTTCTTATAGAGAGAGATAACGGCTATATACAGCTATCTACTCCATATATAAATATAAATATATAAATATATAAATATATGTATATATGCAGCGGCACTGCGCCGGGTGTATAAGCTTTGCTTTGGCTCCCCTTTAGTTATATTTGCTGCGGGCTGAGCGCTGCCCTCGTAGCTAGCTGTATTCTAGGAGACAGGCGAGGCACTGCTTGCTCTGAAGAGAGATGCCGCTGCTGCAGCTGCAGCAGCGGCATCTCCTGCTGCAGCCTGTGCTGCTGCTGCTGCAGCAGCACAGGCTGCAGCAGTATGCCCGCAGGAGGCAGCAGCTGACAGAGCGGGGGGGAGGGGGAGGGGGGGGGAGGTGTAGTGAAGGGCCTCGTCCTTAGCTGAGCTGCAATAGAGTCATAGATGGAGGTATGAGGGGCCCTAGACGCAGCGCAGTTGTTATACATGAGCGAGCACAGTAACACAGTTGCATGGGGAGGATAAGGAGAGGAGACGATAGGTGGTTGGTTGCAGCAGTCCTTGTTTCAGCTCCTGCTGAGAGACAACAGCAGCTGCAGACGTACCCAGGCTCTCTTTTGCTGCGCGCACGAACGCTGTAGAGATTTGTTAGAGACCTGCTTCATGGAGCCTTAGTAGCCAACCTTCAAGCACGTAGAAAGCACATAGAAATATATACACCAGCTTCAGAGAGATAACCCTATTTCTATCGCTACCGTATCGAGCCAAGCAGTGCAGGGATCGTGCGCCTGACAGTCCGAAGGTTGAGGGGTTCATTGCGGGGAGTGAGGGAGCGCAGTCTACGGGGCAGAGCCACAACCACAGAGGAGGAATGGAAACTTGAGAAGGGAGAAAAGGAGCGCGCGGAATCTACCGATGCTGCTTATCCTTTCTGCAGTTGCTGCCAGGGGTTGCAGCTGCACCAGTTCCTCGGAAAGGCGTGGCCACTGGGAAACCGTGTGCTGCACTGCTGTGACCGAGCGGCACCGCCAAACCACTGCTCAACTTGCTGCAAGCAGCGAAGCATACTTAGCAGCATCAGCTGTTGCTGTACCTGCTGAAGCAGCGGTGGCAGCAGCAGTAGTGGCAGCAGTTGATGCGGCTAGACCGCCGCAGCGGCTGAGATAATTTCTTGCCTGCATCCCTGCGCTTTCTTCATACATTCCCAAGCTGCTGCAAGGCGTGCACGGACTTCTGCCGCTTCTACCATACGGGTACTTCTGGCTGTGAACAAGCAGATCCAACTTGGAGCAAGCAAGCCGGAGACGAGACGATCGACGGCGGAGTTGTTGGACAACAACACCACACCGCACAAGGGGAGGAAATCAAGCAGCTTTTTGATGAATTTTTTTTTCTATCGCCTCGCAAGTGCTGCAGAAGAGAGATATTTGCCCTTTCAGTTTGAACGTCTGCCGTTCTCTGGCTTACCGTGGTCGAGCTATGCTCTATACTACGCAGCCTCGTGAACCCGCGGCTGAAGGTGCTGATGAGCAGCTACCAGTCTATGTGAAGAACGACACTGTTCGAGAAGCCACGGAGCTCTCAGATATTAATATTTAAAAGTTAAGCCACTCTCTCTCTCCTGTAACATGGATCATGCAGGGAATGACCGGCATATTTGCTGAGTTTCTCTACAGCGAGGTGAATGTTATATCACCCTTTAACTGATGATAAAGGCACCATGAAATTTATTGAGGTATCCTTCCATATCTGTTTAGGGATCAGAAGAATATGCTGCAGTCCTTGAGTCGCCGTCCGCTGTTCAGCTTGGCAATGAGCACGGACTCATCCGCATTTCACGAGTAAGAATTACACGCTTTAGAAAGGAAAAGGGAGTCAGCCATCGCAGGCAACTGCTGCTGCGTAACAAACTGTCTGTCCCCCAGGGCGTCTGGCCAGTGGACCACCATTATGTAGTTGGGCGGTGTACTGTTCCGCTGAAGTTAACTGGTGCAGAGCATCCAGAGCTGCGGTCTAACACCGCCACAACGGAACGTATGCATTTCTCCGACATTTCTGGCACTTTCTGTGGACTGTGTTGGAGTCTCCTCGCTTCATCTTTCTTGATCCACTGGTCCCGCTGATCTTACCGCATGCAACGCAAATTCTGCGGGGAATGCTCCAAACGGTACACACGCTCGTTGGGTGTGCGCAGATATAGCCTCACCAGCGCCGTCTGAAGAGCTCATGCGCGCCCTCAACTGAGTCAACAATAACATTCTATCATGGAAAACAGGGCTGCTGCAAAAGTCCCTAGTGCATTTTTGAGGGTTGTTTGAGCGTAGCGATTCATCAGAAACATCTATGCACTCTCCTTCACTCAGCGGTGGAGACAGGCGGCGGGGGCCTCCGCAGCACAGCATAAAGTTGGGCGATGCATAAACTTTCGTTGACAAGTGCACTGCCGCGTGCGGACACGGACTCAGGTGTTTGTACCTGCTTCCAGTCTGGATCTATTTATTTTCTCGCTGTGATGTGCGCCCTTCTGTCGCCGATGTTTAGCTTTGAGTAGCAACCCTATAAAGTATTTTAGCTTTTTGGAACTCACAAGGGCCCTCCACCCCGCTGGAGGGCTGCCGATAGACTTGGTTGCACCGCCAGCATTTAAAAAAGCAGACACCGTACCCATCCAGGCCTACTCACGCCAGAAGCATTTCCCTTGTTTCCCCCTCATTAGCACTAGTTGCAGCGAGGAGCGCTGCAACTCGTGTGAGGCTGCATCCTCTCTCCTCCCGAGCCCGTGGGCCACGGGGTCCAGCTCGCCTCGGGCCTGGAGGGGAGGTCAGCTGGGAGCTCCTGCCAGAAATATTTTGCCTCGATCGTTACTTGCATTATATTAATTATTTTTGCCCTATTGGTGTCTATATTGAGTACCTTCATTCTTATTACATATCGTGCTTATCCGGTCTCTATTGGTGTTTGTATTATCTTAATTATTTTGATGTTGGTATTACTCAAGTATTCTTTTATTTTTATTATCTTAGATATTTTAGTTCGAGTACAGTTCACTGGGGTTATCCAGATGGCGGCACTACAGCGCGCGTACTTTCCCGCCTCGTCAAAAGACAAAAGCGAGCTGCAATGAAGACAAAGCCTCTACGTAAGAGTCTCTCCCAAGCAGCCCCCCACCTCCCCCCCCCCCCCNCCCCCCCAAACCTTCCCCCAAGCCCCCCGGTCTCCAGGCATCCTAGGCGCTCAGCCAGCCCCAGGGCCTGGAGCTGCGGGGGAGGAGGCCGCCTGACAGGGGCTGCAGTGCCCCTCGCAGCACTGGCGGTGCGAGCCAGCCTCACGTGTGCGGAGAAGAAAGCTCAGCAGAGCTCCCTTTGCTGTGTGCTTCATCTCTGTAGACACCTATATAGTATTTCTATAGTATTTCTTCTTGCTTGCATGCAGCCTGTAGAGGCCAGGTGAATGCTCCTCTGGTTGCTGCAGGTATACACATGCTATATATACTACGCACACCACCGACACAGTAAATGTATGTTATGGGGTGACCTATTAGACGCCAGTAGATGCAGATGCATGAAACAAAACAAAAGAATATAAACTGAATAAACAATTACAACAAAACTAGCTAAAATAAATACAAAAAAAAAACGAAAAAAAAGAAGTGTATCTGGGGTGTATAGGCACCTCAAATTACCCCGCCCCTTTACTTGCGCATGCAGCAGCAGAACTTATAAATCCACATCAGTATAATAAATATATAACTTCAAAGAAACAAAAGCAAAATATAAACAACAACTCAGCAGTGCTAGCCGCACGCACAGGGGGGCCCCCCCCTCTGCTTGGGGGCCCCGGGGGGGGGGGCCCCCTAGAGGACGGGTACGAAGAAAGTGTGCGTGTATGTGCGTGCATATTTTGTTATTAATTTATTTATTTATTTATTTATTTGTTTGTTTCTTTTTTCGTGGATGCTTCTCGCTTATACACTTCCTTCTTAGGGCTGAAACCCTTTTTTGCTTTCTGCCTGGAGCTGGGGTGTATAGGCAGCTCGCATTTCTTCTCTTACTCTGCTGCAGCCACAGAGCAGCAGCGAGGCTGCACGATCGCTGCGGTGTATGTACACCTGAGGGGCCCCTGAGCTGCCTGTACACCTGAGGGGCCCCCACGCGGCTTGGTTGCTGGTATTTCTGTGTCTGTCTCCTTCTGCTTCACTGCCTCTCTCTCTCTCTCTCTCTTTGTCTGTGTATCTTCGTCTGTTTCCCTTTGCTTTCTGCTGCTCCACCAGGCTGGCCGCATGCACCTCCTGGCGAGGGGGCCCCCTTGGCTGGGGGCCCCCTGCAAGCCCCCTGGGGCCCTCGTGGGGGGCCCCGAGGAGCCGCAGAAGAGAAGGAAATACCTCCTCCAGGGGCATTGCCTGCAGCAGCAGCAGCAGCAGCAGCAGCAACAGCAGCAGCAGCAGCAGCAGCAGACACAACAACCGCAGCAACAGCAGCAGCAGCAGCAGCAGCTGCAGCAGCAGCAGCAGCAGCGCTGTGCGCTGCGGGGAGAAGGCCCCGCGGTGTCTCCTCAGCTCCGCATGCAGGGGCTGTCTCGCTACAGTCTGAGGGCCCCCAGGGGCCCCCACAGCAGCACAACTGCTGCAGCAGATAGAAGGGTTAGATTGCCTGCTGCTGCTGCTTCTCCTAATGCTCATCGCAGAGGCAGCAGCAGCACCAGCAGCAGCAGCAGCAGCAGTGAGTGCGCCAGCAGCAGCAGCAGCAGCTGGTACGGCAGAAGCCGAAACGTCAGCAGCAGCAGCAGGAGCAGCAGCCACGGTAGCATCAGAAGCAACAGCAACAGCTGCAGCAGCAGCAGCAGCAGCAGCAGCAACAACAACAACACCAAGAACAATGGCAAGCGAGCAGGGGGTGTGCCCCCTAGCAGCAACAGCAGCAGTGCGAGCTCAGGGCGGCGTAGGAGCAGCAGCAACAGCAGCAGCAGCAGCAGCAGCAGCAGCAGCAGCGGCAGCAACAACAGCAGCAGCAGCCGCAGCGGCTCCCCCTCCTGCCCCCTGTGCAGGGGCTCCTTCATATTCCGCCACGGGTCTAGGTTAGAGAGGAGAGAGCTGCTGCTGCAGCAGCACGGCTTGGGTGCGTGTGGGGGCCCCAGCAGCTTTGCTGCTGCTGCTCCTGCTGCTGCTGCTGCTGCTGCTACGGCTGCTGCTGCGGATGTCCGAGGACAGAGGCATCTTAGTAGGCACCAACAGCAGCAGCAACCACAACACCGCCAAACCTCCAGCAGCAGCAGCAGCAGCAGCAGCAGCAGCAGCCAGCAGCAGCAGCAGCAAGGGGCAGAGCAGCGGCGGGAGATTGAGGCCCTCAGACGCTGCCTGCTGAGCGGGCTGATGAAGAAAGAGAGACAGAGATATTTCTGTCCCTTTTGCTGCAGACAAGAGGATGCAGCAGCAGCAGCAGCAACTGCTGCTGCTGCTGCTGCTGAGAGCAGCAGCAGCAGCAGCAGCCGTTTTGTTCCTCGCAGGGGTCTCGAGGCAGAAGCAGCAAGAGTGCAGCAGCAGCTGCAGCAGCAGCAGCTGATTGACGTTGACAGCCTAGCAGCAGAAGAGCAGCAGCAGTTCTTTGTGAAGCAGGAGGAGCCCTTGCCGCACCCCAACAACAGCAGCAGCAGCAGCAGCAGCAGCAGCAGCGGGTCTGAGGCGCTGCGGGTTGTGTGTGAAGGCTTCGACTGCCGCAGCCTCAGCAGCGAGGCGCGGTGGGCGGTGGCGGAGTTAGTAAGAGAGGGCTGCTTCATATCAACAGCGTTGCAGGCTGCTGCTGCAGTGCAGCAGCAGCAGCAGCAGCAGCAGCAGCAACAGCAGCAACAGCAGCAGCAGCAGCAGCAGCAACGGCAGCGACGGCGACAGCAACATAAGATACACAGCAACTGGGAGGGGAGAGAGGAGCCACGGGGGCAGCAGGAAGCAGCAGAGCGACGCAGCTCTTTTGCTGCTGCATGCGCAGCAGCAGCAGCAGACATAGAAGCAGAAGCAGTGAGCCAGCAGCTGCTTGACCTGGGGGCCCTGCGGGCCCGAGAAGAAGCAGACAGCAGGAGAGACAGAGCAGCGCAGCAGCAGCAGCAGCAGCTCGTCAGCAGCGCGCAGCCACTCTGGCAGCAGCACGGCTGTCTTTGTTCTTACCTAGAGGCCGCCAACCCCCCCCTCTTCGAGGCTCTCACCAGCAGCAGCAGCAGCAGCAGCAGCAGCAGGAGCAGCAGCAGGAGCAGCAGCAGCAGCAGCATCAGGAGATACAAAGAGGAAGCAGCAGCACGAGGCCGCTTGCTGCTGCAGCGGCTCTTTGACCTGCAGCAGCAGCTGCTGCGCAGCTACACTTCTGCTGCTCCTGTCTTTGTCTGTAGAGCTGATGAGGAGGCTGGGCGTCTCCTCAGAGCCTTGCGAGCAGCAGACACACAGCAGCAGCAGCAGCAGCAGCAGCAGCAGCATATGAACATTCACGACTGTCTCCTCATAGCCTCTGCTGCTGCTGCTGCTGCTGCTGCGGATGCGGATGCCGAAGGAGCCGCAGCAGCCAAGGCAAATGCAGCAACTGCAGCAGTAACAGCAACAGCAGCAACAGCAGCAGCAGCAGCAGCAGCAGCAGGGGATAAGCGCATGCATTGCCAGGCATTGCCCGTGCTGCAGCAGGAGGGCCCCCAAGGGCCCCCAGGGAGCTGGCAGCAGCAGCAGTGGCCGCTGAGCGAGCAGCAGCAGCAAATGCTGCTGCTGCTGCAGCAGCAGGCGCAGCAGCTACCGGCTGCTGAGCTGCAGGTGACCTTAGCCAAGGCCTACTTCGAGCAGCAGGAAAAGGTGGGATTGCTGCTGCTGCTGCTGCTGTTGCTGCTGCTGCTGCTGTTGCTGCTGCTGCTGCGGCTGTATGTCTTGTGTCTCTATTTGTTTTTGTGTGTATTTACCTCTATTTGTTTGTATTCATTTGTCTCTGTTTTTTATTTTTTATTTTTTATTTGTTTTTGTTTTTTTTATTTGCTGCTGTGCCCCCCAAGTGTATCTGAGTCCCTCGCGCTGCTGCTCACACTAGCAGCAGCAGCAGCAGCAGCAGCAACAAAACACCAGCAACAGCAGCAACAACAAAACGCACGCAACAGCTACATCATTAGCAGCAGCAGCAGCAGCAGCAACAGCAGCAGCAGCAGCGGCAGCAGCAGCAGCGGTATGTGCTGCTGTTTGTTTTTCAGGCTTTAGTTGAATCTGCTTTCTTCTCTAACTTGGGGTCTCTTGCTGCTCCGTCTTTGCTGCTGCAGCAGCGGCAGCAGCTGCTGCTGCTGCTGGGCTGGTGGCTGCGCATCAGCGCCTTTCTCTCGGGCACAGCAGCAGAGCTGCAGCAGCTGCTGCTGCTGCAGCAGCAAGCATTTGCAAAGTCCCAGCACCAACAGATACAGCAGCAGCAGCAGCAGCAGCAGCAGCAACAGCAGCAGCAGCAGCAAGTTGTTTCTCTCTCTGACTTGCTGCTGCGCCCACACCCAACACGCGGGCCTTCCTACATTCAGCTGCTGCTGCTGCATCCTCAGGACAGCAGTGCTGCTGCTGCAGTTGCTGCTGCAGCAGCAGAGACAGGCGCGAAGCTGGAGTCTCCACCGCAGCACGAGCAGCACCCCAGCAAGGCAGCAGCAGCACCACCAGCACCAGAAGCAGCAGCAGCAGCAGCGACTGCAGCAGCAGCAGCAGCAGCAGCAACTGCAGCAGCAGCAGCAGCAACTGCAGCAGCAGCATCGACACCACCACAGGAAGTTGAGGAGATTTCCAGCGACAACGACGAGGTCCTGCATAGCAGCAGCAGCAGCAGCAGCAGCAGCAGCAGCAGCAGCAGCAGCAGCAGCACTTCATCGCGGTTCAGCAGCAGGATAGAGAAAGGTGTGATTGTGGTTAGCAGCAGCAGCAGCAGCAGCACCAGCATCAGCAGCAGCAGCAGCCCTGATGAAGCTTCTGGCCCCCTCCGTGTCTGTAGGCCCCTGCGGGGCCCCCAGAAGCACATGCCTGCTGCGTCTCGTCGCCGCCTGTGCAGCAGCAGCAGCAGCAGCAGCAGCAGCAGAAGCAGCAGCAGCAGCAGCAGCAGCAGCAGGTTGCTTGCATACACGCGTTGTATCTCTGGCTGCTCTACAGCAGAGCAGCTGGCGATGCAGCTGTGGGGTGTCTCCCCTTCTGCTGCTGCTGCTGCTGCTGCTGCTGCTGCTGCTGCTTCTCTTCTGTCTCCTTTCGTCAGCTGCTGCTGCTGGGATGTCTGCTTGCCTGAGGCCCCTGGTCTCCAGGGTCTTCGTGCTGCAGGCAGAGCCTTGCTGCCCCTGCAGCAGCAGCAGCACCAGCAGCAGCAGCAGCAGCAGCAGCAGCAGCAGCAAGAGGAGGAGCTGAGTGCCTGTGATGCCCTCGCCCGCCTCTGGCGCCTTACAGCTGACCCTTCTGCTGCTGTCTGCTGCTCCCCCAGAGTGCTGCAGCAGGAGCAGCAGCAGCAAAGCCCTTTGGGGGCCCCTGGGGGGCCCCCGGGGGGCCCCCCGGGGGGCCCCCCTAGGGGCCCCCAAAAGAAAGTTGATGGACCTCCTCGCTGGAATTTAGAGGTAAGCTGCTGCTGCATGCATCCTCATGTTTTATCTGTCTCCTTTTTTTTCTCTGTTTGTTTTTTTTTGTTTGTCTCCTTTTGTTTGTTTCTTTGTGTTTGTTTTTTTTGTTTATCTCCTTTTGTTTGTCTCCTTTTGTTTATTTCTATTTATCTGTCTCTTTTTGTGTATTTCCTTTATTTTGTTTCTTTTTGTTTGTTTTTTTGTTTGTTTTTTTTTGTTTGTTTCTTTGAGTGTATGCTGAGTCTCCTTCTCTGTCTCCTTTTTTTTGTCTCCTTTTGGTGTCTCCTCAGGGCCTCCACCCGCTCGTTGCTGCTGGCTTGTGGCTGCCAGCTGCGGCCTTTGTGCATCCCTCGCAGCAGCAGCAGCAGCAGCAGCAGCTGCAGCAGCAGCAGCAGCAGCTAACAGATCGCTTTCTATGGGGCAGGCAGCAACTGGTCCGTTATGCCTCTCTGTTGCTGCCTCAGCCTTCCTGCAGCAGCAGCAGCAACAGCAGCAGCAGCAGCAACAGCAGCAACAGCAGCAACAGCAGCAGCAACAGCAGCAACAGCAGCAGCAGCAGCAGCAACTCTCCACTCTCACCAACTCGTTCGCATCCCCACCGCCACAGCAGCAGCAGCAGCAGCAGCAGCAGCAGCAGCAGCAACTCC